GCCAAACGACGGCGTTGAACATCGGGCGTCTCAGACTCGTCTGTGAACTTTGTTTGGCAGTGCTCTCTCGACTCTGTGGCCCGCTCCTGCCTGTCTTCTGTCAGTTGTCCTGCTCTGGTTCCCTGTAGTGGTGGAGTCTTCACCGACGTGGCCTTCTTAGCTTTCCATGCGCGCCTCAACTTGGACTCCAATCGGCGGCGGGCTCGCTCGTCCTCGCAAGAAGCGGCACGTCGACTAGCAAGCTTCACATAGGAGAGCTCGTCGGGCAAAGCGAACAGCGCTCATCTGCGAGAAGACCTCGCAGCGCGGGGGGTCGAACGCACGGCGTCCTCGATGCTGGCCTGCGCCATGCTGACGCGGGCGCGCGTGTCTCCGTCTTCAGCGACTTCGCCTGCGAGGTACAACGCTTCGGCAACGTGCCCGCGGAAGTGCTCCGCGTCGCGCTCGCTGTCTGGATTCGACGTGGACGCGCTCTTTCAGCCGCTGGTCACCGCGGACAAATCTGCCCAGACGAGGTGATGGTTTGAATTGCCCACCCGTCTGCCGCCATGCACCCCTGCTGCTTGCGGCCCCGTGGATGCCGCTCCGGGTGGCAGCTCAACCTGCGCGTCGCAGCCCAAAGCCAGAAATCGAGCCCTGGCCGCCCTCAACTTCTTCAACTCCACACTAGCAACCAACGCGCTCCTCTCGACATCCCCCATCGGCTTACCCGAATCAGCAAAGCGAGCAGACGCCGCTCCCAGCTCACCAGCCAACGCTGAAGAAGTTACGTCTGAATGGTGCCTGACGAATATGGGCCCAAACCTCGCTAGGCACAGCAACGGCAGCGGTGGTCGCCTCGCCGCGGTAGACCAACCATCCCTGAGCAGCTGGATCGACGGGCCATCCCGCAACCTCCTGAACACAATACGCACGCCCCCTGGTAATTGCAAACAGCTCATCCAATATATCTACCAACGTGCCCCCATGAATGCGATTCGCGTTCCAGCTGGCAGTGCCCATTAAATTCCTGGACATGTGCGCGCGCGTCAGGGATGATGCGCGTCGCTGGCGCAAGCTCCGCTTGAGCTCGTCTGCCTGAGTATCTGGCGCCAGGGCAGCCGGCGGGCCTTCGCGAATCCCCCGACCATTTTCACAGCGAGCTCTGCGACGCAGACCGGGCTGTAGACGTCGCGATTGTCGAAGATCTTGCAGGGGGGCCCCAAGAGAAGCTCCAGCGAAGCATTTCTCACCGCTTGATTTTAAAGCTTCCCGGATTTCGCTGACCCAGCGTTGCCGCGAGGCTCCGTCTCGAGGAAAGGCCGCGCATCTAACTTGGGCTTGATGCCGTCGACGAGGCGCCGGCCCGCGTCCCATATTCGCTCGATGCCAGACTTCGCGCACCAGGCAATCCCGCGGTCGTCGACGTTCTTCAGGTGCAGCGCAAAGCCCCCTAGTCGCGAACTTCTGCGTCGCCAGGGCGTCGACGTGATCCATGATCTCCTCGTCGAGCTCATTGCAGAGGGCGCCGCCCATTGCGTGACCTTGGGCCCCGACCGACTTGCGTCGTCCTTGATGCAGCCTTTGATCCAGACCTCCTGTGCTGCGTGCTATTTGTCGGAAGCGGTGGTCTGGCCGGCAGAGTGGCGCGAGCTGGACATCCTCGCGTGGAGCTCCCTCCTCTCGGCGCGGAATTCCTCGCGGAGCTCCTTGCCCAACTCGCCCACCATCGCCCTCGACTGCTGCTCCGACTGCTGCAAGAACTCGGCGAGAAGCTTCCGGTTCTCCTCTATCGCGCGTTGCCGATTCGTCTCCGCTGCCCGCTTCAGCAGCGCGCCCGCGCCGCCCGCCGCGCCCGCACTGGCCCGCGCGTTCGGTTCGCCGCCGCCCCTGTTCCCCCCCCTCGGCCGCGGGATCGACCGCCGCGCCGGCAGCTCTCTGTCGCGCCCCCGCAACCCCTGCAATACATGGCGCTAGAGACAGTAGCGACGAGATCCGATGTCGTGACTTTTCCCATACGCGGCCCCCAGAAGTCTCGACCCATTTCCCTTTTCACCCTGAGTCGTTTTTTGACGGTCCCGAGGCCCGGCGAGGGCCTCTAAAGGCCGAAAACGGCGAAAAACCTCGGTCTTGATTTTTTCAATGCGCTGGATCTCTGGGGAGAGCAACCCTGGCTCCTGATCCGCCGTACTTTGGATGATTTTCCGACCTAAAATTGTGTCGGAAATCGACGCCAAAGGAGCCTCAAGGGCGGAAATCGACGCTCAAAGGGGCCTCAAAAGTAGGGCGGAAATTTCCGCCCTACTTTCGAAATCGCCCAAAGTAGGGCGGATCAGGAGTCAGGGCGTCCTGAAAAAATCAGGACGCCGCATGTCTGGGGATATTGCTGCAGCTGGCAGGCCCGTTGGCCCTTGCGGTCTCTCGGGGGTTTCTGGGGCCGCTCGGGGCTCGCGCCCAAGATCGGTGTATACGCCCTCCTGCCTTGCGCAAGAAAGCATATACACCGATCCTGGGCCCAGGCTGATCCTGGGCCAGGATCGGTGTTGGTGTATAGTTGGTGCCCTCCGATGGTGGCCGCCCGGGGGTGCCTCGCGCGCTGGGTGGCGTGC